TGTAAAAGAATGAAACTAGAACACTTTCTAACACCATACACAAAAATAAACTCAAAATGGATTAAAGATCTAAATGTAAGACCAGAAACTATAAAACTCCTAGAGGAAAACATAGGCAAAACAGTCTCTGACATAAATCACAGCAGGATCCTCTTTGACCCACCTCCCAGAGTAATGGAAATAAAAGCAAAAATAAACAAATGGGACCTAATGAAACTTAAAAGCTTTTGCACAACCATGGAAACTATAAGCAAAGTGAAAAGACAGCCTTCAGAATGGGAAAAAATAATAGCAAACAAAGCAACTGACAAAGAATTAATCTCAAAAATATACAAGCAACTCCTGCAGCTCAATTCCAGAAAAATAAATGACCCAATCAAAAAATGGGTCAAAGAAGCAAACAAACATTTCTCCAAAGAAGACATACAGATGGCTAACAAACACATGAAAAGATGCTCAACATCACTCACTATCAGAGAAATGCTCTCTTCCATTCTTAATGTTGACATCCTCAGAGGAGTGGTAGCAAGATGGCAATAATTGTTGGAGTCACACCCAGACCCAGCAACATGCTTAGGAGGAATAAGGACTGTTACTGTCTCTGTCCTTTTATGAGATCAAGGAAATCTTTCCAGAAACCTCTCAACTGACTATCTTGTATTATAGGTCATAATTGTGTTATAGACCATCGTAGGTTACTCACAAGTCTGAAACCAATCACTGCCAAGTGGGGGTGGGACTACCATTACAATCCTACAGACAAATCAACATCTACTCCTGGAACTGGTATTAAGATCATCTTCCCTTTAGTCATATGAGTACATGCATGTGTGTTTAGTCACTCAGTCATGTCCAGCTCTTCACAACCCCATGGACTGTAGCCCACCAGGCTTCTCTAGCCATGGGGTTTTCCAGGCAAGAATACTGTAGTGGGTTTCCCTTTACTTTTCATCCTCCAGGGGATCTTCTCCACCCAGGGACTGAACCCACGTCTCCTGAGTCTCCTGAATTGACAGGCAGATTCTTTACTGATGAGCCACCTGGGAAATCCCCCACATAAGAGTAGATACCTGAATAAAATATGAGTTTGTGGGGAAGAAAGAACAAAATAGTGATGCTGGGTTGGCAACAATTCTCTTCAAGTAGATTCATGTCTCATGTGGGAGATAAGGTTGTAAAGTTGACACATCAAGATAAGAATCATGTATATTAATACCTTAAAACTACATGATATTTTGAAGAGTGACTTAACGTTCAGTAAATTCAGTATAGCCATTTTGCTAGCATTCAATAGATTTCAGTTTATTTGGGTCAGGCCAGATGAAATTGTGAGTTTGCATTTTTAGGCCAGAATGATATTTTCTACTATGAAAGGTGCACAGGAAAGAAAGAAATAGCAGTCATATGGCCTAACAGAGTAAATCTCTGTGCAAATGGAGTAGGATGGTAAGTGAAAGTACCACTACAATGCAGTAGCCAGTTTACAAAATCAGAGTTATGCAAACTTGAAAGAGTACAACATAGGAATATTAATAAATTCTCATAAGATGGACAGCTTTTGAAATCATGTATGTGTACACACATGCATTCTCAGTCATGTTCAACTCTTTGTGATGCCATGGACTGTAGCCCTCCAGGCTCCTCTGTCCATGGACTTTTCCAGGCAAGAATATTAGAGAGGGTTGCCATTTCCTCCTCCAGGGTATCTTCCTGACCCAGGAATCAAACCCAAGTTTCTGGCATCTCCTGCATTGGCAGGCAGATTCTTCACCACTAGTGCCATCTGGGAAGCCCTTTTAAACCATAGAAATACCAAAACAAAAAAAAACATACTTTTTTTTTAATATATATAAACAATCACACAGTTTTAATGCTTGAGGGTCAGGTATTTCGGAACCATGTTTTTGCTGCATGGTGCACCATGGTGATGCCACTTCAGACAGCAAAGAAATACCTTCCTTCCTTTGCCAGTTTTATGAAAAATTAATTTTTAATTATGCAAATTTTAAATTATAGGAGGGCCCCTGTTAGCAGGAGACAAGGGTTTGATCCTTGGTCCAGGTGGATCCCACGTGCAACTAAGTCCATGGCCACAACTACTGAGCCTGAGGTTTAGAGCCTGCAAGCCACAGCTCCTAAAGCTCACCTGCTTAGAGCCTGTGCTTTGCAACAAGAGAGGCCACCAAAATGAGAAGCCTATGCACTACAACTAGAGAGCAGGCCCCACTCATCGCAACTAGAGAAAAGCCCCTGCAGCAGTGAAGACCTAGCATAGCCAAAAATAAATAAATACAATTTAAACAATTTTTTCTCACTCTCTGGGGCCAGGGTGCTAAGTATATCTATTTGAATTCACATAATGTAAATGTCCATATAAGTAACTCCACTAAGTTTTATTTTATGCTGGTATTTAAGTAAACCTGTAAGAATTGTCTCTTTATGTTACTAACACTACCCAACTCCAGCCTTTATTTGGGGGTGTTTGATTGAACCAAAAATTCATACTATAAATACACGCACTTAACAAAAGAAGGGGAACATTTGTATTCTGTCAGGTAGGGAAGCAACAAAATAGACAAAGGGTGGCAGAATTGAGTTCACAAAATGAAGTCTGCTCTCAAGTTTTGAAGAGAACCAGAGGGCAAAGGGTTAGTAGCCCAAACCAGACAAAGGTCAAGGAATAATCGTTTGTCAAGTGTCAGGAATAGATAGTACACGAACCAGAAACAAAAGTCTCATTGGGAAAAGAGGAGCTAAATTCCAAGTATTAGACCCATACCAATGATTATGAGTATGATTCAATATATTTAGGATTGTGCTTTCCAAAATATGTTCAATGGGACATCAGTTCCTTGATATGCTCTTTAGGAGGGGGCTCTGTCATCAAGTGTGCGAAGTGCTGCTGACTTTACCCCTGTTTTAGAGAATCTCAGTACCTATTATCCTATTAAAAGACATTCCTATAGAAAAGACACCCTCTCACCTTACAAAGCACAAATGTTGACATCAAGTCGGACTTTCCCAAGTCTGTGCTGGGGAACAATTTCTGTGGGATATTAGCAGGTTTGGTGCCTAAATAAAATCTTCC